CACACAGACACACACATATATAGACACGCACACGCAGATACACAAACACAGACACACAGACACGCACACAGACACACAGAGAAACATACACAAGATTCAAATTCTCTATTCAAAATGTTACAATTTTAGAAAACGGAGAAAAGAGAAAAATAACCGGGAGGAAAACACCACACAATGTTTTCTCATGGTCCTCTTGGGGAAACAGCACCATGGTTGGCGTTTTTAAACGTGTTCTACTTTCCGGACCTCCAGGTCTTTTCCGACGAGCACGTATGCAGTCTTTTCTTAAAGGGAAAGGAAGACGAGGCCTAAAAATAGAGCCCCTCCTTCCTCTTAGAACGGTGGCACTTGCCAGCTTGTCTTTCCTTGACTGGCCCCTGGAGGGGTTCCGTGGGCTCATGAAGGGTGCCACTCGAGTCCACTCTGGGAGGTGTCTCAGACTTGAGGTGCAGCACAGGGGCCCTGAATAGGGACTCCTTGGGGTAGGGAGTGTCTGGGGCCCCCTGGGCGGGTGGTACTCACCCAAGACCAGTGTGGGCCAGCTGGAGATGCGGGCTTTCAAGCCCTGGTAGAAGATCTGGTGCAGAAACATGATGGTTTCGCTGAAAGAAGCAATGGGTAAGCTCGGGCTCTGCCAAGGAGTGAGTTCTGTGTCCCCCACCCTCACCCCCTGCCACCAGGGCCCTCCTAGCCCAGCCCTGCTGAGGGGTCCATGGGACAGCGCCAGAGGGCCACTTCCCGTGGAAGTCTTTAGCAGGAAATGTCCTTCCCACGTGAATCTTTATTCGGAAACGCGCTGCAGACCCCATCATGTAATTTGTGGGCCTGTGCAAAATGAAAACCCGGCCCCATGTTCACAGATTATAAAGGGCTTCAGGGTGGCACTAAGAGACATCAAGCTGAGGCCCAACCAGCTTCAAAAAAGCCAGCCCTGCCCATCAGTCGCCCAGAGGTGCGGTGTGTGTGCTGGGACAGACCGGCCCTCCTGCCTCCTGGAGCCTCCACTTGCTGGGGATGCCCCGGGGCGTCTCGGAGGAACCCAGTTCTGGGCACACGGAGTGAAAGCCACTGTGGATGTGAACAGAGCTGGCTTAGGCTTGCATCCACCTTCTGCCCCTTCTGAGCCGTGTGACCTTTGCCCAGATGCCTCACATCTCTGAACCTCAAGGTCTTCGGTGTAAAATCTAAAGGGGCAGGGAGGTATTCGGTAGTCAATGGGCATTCCGGAAGTGCCAGTCCCCCCCACCATCCCAGTCTGGGACTCTAAGTCACAGAAACACAAGGAGCCAGATTCTCTGCTTTCCAAAGTTGCTGGCAGCCTACCACTGGTCTGGACTGCCGCCTTTGAGGCCTGGGCTACATCTGCCGGCCCCTCTCCCCACTCCCCACCTTTGCTCCCACAACTCCCCAACAGCTGCCTGCTCCTCAGAGAGGCCCTGGTCTCCAGGACTCTGAGACACCTGCTTCTTCCCGCCTCCATTCATTCCTCTAACACAGACCTGCCTGCTCCCTCAATAATCAGGCTTACCTTGGGCCACACAGGGTAAGCGGGAGGGGTTTTGTAGGGCACCACATTCATGTATAGGGAAACCGAGGCCCAGAGAGCGGGGCTGGCTCTCCCAGGAGTCAGGGGGCAGGACTGAGCCTCCCTCCTGGGAACCTGTCTTTCTTGTCTATGAAGGTCTCCTTTCGGCCCCTCCTGGGATAGGTTCTCAGGGGGTGTGCGCTCCGCTCCTTTTGCCTCTTGTTTCCCTGAGCTCTGTTTGGCTGCTGGAGGTGCCCGGTCGGTTGCAGCGCCCTGGAAGCTGCCAGGGCAGCACTACCCTCTCCCAGCAGCTCCTGAGGGCAGCCCCTCCGCCGCTCCACACCCAACCTGGGTTCTCCACATGGGGGCCCAATAGCAGGGGGCGGGCACCACCCGGGCCCGCTGTGGACAAGGCCAGGTAGCAGAATGGGCGGGAACTCCAACACCCCAGGCGCTCGTCCCCTGAGCGTGGGTCTGATCCTTCCGGATTCCTCGTTATCACTCCGGTCCCAAGAGGAAGGCCCTCGGTGGCTACACACCGATTGCTGAACTGATGATGACGTCTGCATGCTCCGCCCCAATCCGGTACCAAGGCGCCATGGAATGGCCCTCATTTCTGTCTGACCCTGGCCCCTGAAGTAGTCTGTTAGATGGATAAACAAGATGTGCCGGTTTAAAGGACTCTGCGTGCAGGAGCGTGTGCAGAGGGGCGGATCTCTGATCTGGGGGTGGGGGTGGGTCAGGGGGCCTTCCTGGGGGTCTTCGAGGGATCGATTCTCTTCCCTCGGACAAGGAGGCGGACCAGAGGACCTTGCACTGCCCAGCATGGCTCGGGGGGCCACGGGCAGGCGGCTCCAGCAGGAGGCACTTGGAGGTAGGAGGAACGCACCTCCTTCAATTCCAAGAGCGCACGGGCTTGTGTAGCAGCTTAGCGGGAACATCCTAAGCCAGCACACACAAAATAGAGTCAATGAAGCTTCTACTTTTAAAGATTTTTTTCAACCACCTAGAAATTACCGTTGTGCCTCATTTAAGCAGAAAAAGCATCTGTTTGATTTGACTTGCTTAAAAAACAAATCATTGCTAATGGGTGGGTTGGACATGTTCCCATAGGTAACAACAGCTGCTCAGGAGTCCTGATGGCGTAGTAGTTCCATTGGGCTGCTAATGGCAAGGTCAGCGGTTCAAAACCTCCAGCTGCTCCGAGGGGGAAAGACGGGGCTTTCTACTTCTGTAGAGAGTGACAGTCATGGAAACTCATGGAGACAGTTCCCCCCTGTCCCTTAGGGCCGATGAGGGGTCGGCATCGACTCGATGGAGTGGGTTTTTATAGAAGTGTAAGCAGGGCAGTGGTTGAGTTCGCAGAAGAATGGGGCTTCAGAGCGATGGGGGAAAGATGTGATGATTTGTTCCGTACAGCTGTCTGGCCCAGGAAAGCACACACATGCTTCTGCTTTGTCCTACAGGGCCGCTAGGGGTTGGAACAGCCTGGATGGTGGTAGTGTGGTTTGGTGTTTGGATAAAAGGCAACATACCAGGCATGTAGTTTCTTAGCATCTTGTAGAGCTTTACTCATTCATTCATTCCGCACATGGTTGCTCAGCCCTTACTAGGTAGCAGGCACTTGGCCAAATATCGACATTCCTGCACGGGACCCCGACAGCGATGCAAACACATAGTCCTCACCAAGGCCACTGGACACACCTCTTGGGCTATGTCTGGGCTTGGCAAACAACACCCAGGAGCCTAATCTGGCCTGGCACCTGTCTCTGTACATGGATGGCCTGCAAGCTTCGGATGGTTTTTCACAGTTTTAATGCTTTCATGCCCCAAGGGCAGAGGCGTGTCCTTGCAACAGAGACTGCGTGGGGTGCTGAGTCTAGTGCTGAGTCTACCGTGCTTGCTGATCCTTCACAGAACAGGTTTGCCAATTCCTGGTCTATGTGAATGGTGCTTCCTGGATTGTGTGGTGTGTGGCAGGGGCGGCAGTATCCTGCTACTTTGGCCCTGTCCACAGGGAGCTTAGAGTCTATGGGGGAATCTAGGCATGAAAGCAATTATTATTTAAATGTGCCTGATGCCACAACAGGGCAGCACAGGGGGCCCTAGGAGTGCATAGTCATGAGGCACCGAGTAATTGTGGCAAGGGAGTGGGGGCAGGAGTTAGCTATGGACATGCCACCCAGGGAGAGACTCAAGAAAGAGTAGGAGGTAATGGATGGCCTGTCTGTAGTCCCACTTGAAGAGTGCTTACCATGCCTTCCTTGAGCTCAGAAAGGGACATGACCCGCCCAAAGCCACTTCAAGATGCATAAGGCTCGGCCAGAGCAAGACAAAATCAGTCTTCTTGTCTCAACTCCTGCCAAAGACCTTTTATCAGTCAGTCCTCATGGGTTTAAAATCCTGTCCATCCCTACTCCCTAGGCCATGCAGACATGACCAATCAATTGTGACACTCACCCATTGAGCTGGATATGGCCTTCTTGTCTTTCTCAACCCAGGATTCCAGCCACTGGCAGCCAATCAGATATAAACCATTTGCCCTCCCAGGGGCACCTCCCATTGTGGGGGAGGTGTGCAAAGCTGGGCGTGCTTTTTACTAAAGGGAAAGAGTCCAAGTCTATATGCTTGTCTTGGTTAAACAAAGCCTGCTGCAGCTGTTTAGCTCAAATATCTTTCCTCCCTGATCTATAAAGGACACAATCAGCACCCTCCTCAGCTCTGTGACATCCTTGATGAATCTGCCAATCTGGAGGGAGGCCTGGCTCCTCCCGAGGACCTCTTTTAATGAGCTACGGTAAATTAAATCACCAAATGAGCACCAGGTTCTTAATGTGGCCGTACATTTCAGCCTAAAAGCCAATCCAAGGCAATATTATGTGCTGCCAGCGTCTGCCGTGAGTGGCCAATGCACAGAGCGCTGGACTGTGGTCGGAGGCAGGGAGACTGGAGAGAGGGAAGCCCTGGGTCCCCACAGCACCTGGAGCAAACTGGAAGGCTGGGTTCACCTGCAATGGAATGTTATCTAATGGGGCAAGCAGGAGAGAGAGAGAACATTTGGAGCCTTGCACTGTCATAAGCCTCAGTCTGGAGAGGGGAGGGCAGTGGGGAGATTCAATCTCCTTGTTTAACGAGGCAGCAGGGAAGATGGAGATGGCGGGGGTCCCACTTGGTCCACCTCTGGATCTATGGACCCAGCACGCAGCCAGGACCACAGACGTGGAGCTGTTGGTGTTTATGAGTGAACGAGTGCCCCTGACTTTGGTGACGCTACTGCTGACCAACCCGTCCCTTCCACCCCAATCACTGCTGGGGTCCTTTAACAGGCTGGCTTCCTGTGGACAACCGGAAGAGAAGAACAGGTTTGTTTTCTCGATCCGATGCGTGAGGCAAAGGCTTCATGGATATAGCTTGATCTCTCTCTCTCTCTTTCTCTTGGGAGGGGGTTAGTATCCCTCAAGACACTCAACCGATGAATGAGTTCCAGTCTCCATGGACTATGCAGGGGTGTTCAGCAAGGCTGGGGCTGGTTTAAGATTTAGGGTCTGGGTTGAAATTGAGGAATGCATGGTAGTTGCCTGAGGTCCAGAGAGGTGAGCTCCCTCTCCTTATTCCTTTATGTTTTACTTGGCTACATGTTCTCCCTCATTTCTTATTTCTTTCCATCTTTGGGTATCAATATTCTCTCTACAAGGGGGCTTCAAAAGGCTTATGGAAAAATTCCATCATCTTATAATTTCATTTTTCCCCACAAACTTGTTGAAGAGTTCTGGTATCTACTTGTCTGTCATCCATCCATTCGTATACTCATCCATCCACCCACCCACCTACCTACATCTATCTAACATCTACCTACCTATATACTTATTTATAATTAAAATGTTGACTATATTCCTTCTAGTTCTAAATCTAAAACTAATCTAGCCCTTCATGGGCTAGTCCTTGGCTTTCCCAGCTCATCACTAAAACTGGCAAAGAAATATTTAGCTTCAGTGTACACACAATGTACATCATCCCTTAATGACATACTTTTTAAAAAGACCTACTGATTTCTTTGGTCTGGATGAATTTACATCTTCGTCGGGGAAGGTCATGCTCATCCAGGTGGTGGTATATATCAGAAATTAATTTCTCCTTATGACTGAGAATTATTCCATTGTACTCCAAGGGGGGCTCCGAAAAGCTTATGCAAGGAATCCCATTATCATGCGTATTTGTTGTTCTGAAAGATCGTGTTTCACTATGAAATAGTAGGACAGCCGACTCTGGTTAACTAGTTTTTAGTCAAAACTGGGTTCTTAGTACTCATCATTGAGAATCATGAAGTTCCTTGTTCTGGAAAACCCAAATCATAGAACGAAGGATGAAGACTGGATTAGCTGACACCCATATTAAATGTACATGGTTCATGTTTTCTTTAAAAGAAATAATTAAAAGAGCATAACAGGAAATCTCAGAAGTAACTTGCTGCTAATCTATACATATCTTGTATAAGAAAGGTGTGTATTGGTTTTGTTAAACCCTTGTTGCTTTTCTAAAGTAGGCATTTTTAAACTTGATTTAATAAAAGTGTTAATTTTGGGGGGAAAAGGTCCTACTGTCTTTTAATTCCACATTTCCCGGGAACTCTTTGAAGCCCCTCACACCCTCTGTTCATAACCACTTGGGTAGTTTTCACCCCTGGCTCATTTCCTGGGGGTGGCAGTGAAAGCAGCACTTTATGATACCACGGAGGTCCCCCTCCTCCCTCCTCCTGACTTGCTTTTAAAGGCATCCTACCGAATCCACTCATGTCTTACAAGATCAAGATATAAAACCGTGGGGTGAGTTTTCAAACCGCCTTTGAACAAAGGCATTCTGGCGTGAACATGCTTAGCCAAAGGCTTTGGGCTAAAGGAATCCCAGAGATCAACAGGGTCCTAACAAAGCTATGGAAAGAGACATACACACCAGGGACCACCTTTGTGGCTGAGGTGATTATGAGGAAGAGCCCTTCACAGTGTAGCAGCAATGGTCTAGAAGAAAAATACAAACAAGAGGAAAGGATGGCAAGGTTTCCTAAAGAATCCCTGAAACTCTTGACCAGGGCCAAGCCACTGCCACAAGCAGGCAGGGTGATTTAAAGGCGGGCATTTATTTCAAAGGGGGAGCCAGGAGCAGCCGCCTCTGCAGCACCTGCCGCTCTGGCTCCCCTTGGACCTGAACTGAGGAGAGTCCAGTGAGAGAGCTTCTCCCAGGCGCTGGCCGAACGGTCCATGGTTTAGTCGACACAGGACCAAGAGCTTCCTTCACACTGCCCAGCCGAATCGCAAATCCTGGAGTCTAAAAGACCAGGTGTATTTTCTGGGGCCAATGCTATCTACTTTCATAAAAAAGATAATATATACTTTCTTTATTTTAGTAATGGAGGTAATGGTATTCAACGTGCATATTAATGAGGAACGTTGTCAGCGTTACTGATCCAGGATTTCCAGAAGCTTCTGTGAGGCTACAGCCTGTCCCTGTGGGAGGCAGAGGGAATCATAGCACCTTCGTTCAGAAATACTGAGTTTGCCTGGCTCGCTCGCTCACAGCGGTCGAATCGGGTCGGACTCATTGTAAGCCTGTGGACAGAGTGGATCTGCCCCGAGGATTCTGAGGCTGCCACTCTTCGAGGTCAGAAAACCGCATCTTTCTCCTGCAGAGTGGCTGCTGGTTTTGAACTGCTGACCTTATGTTTCGTTGCCCAATGCATAATCCATTATGCCAGTAAGGTTCTGATTTGGCACCAGGCCTCCCAATCGTTGGGGGTAGGTAGTTCCTAGCTACATGAACTTGGGCTAAAACTTTTCATTTCTGGGCCTCAGGTTCCTTCCCTGCACTTCCCTGGGTCTTAGCTGAGACTGCTGTTGTTTCAGCTGCGCATCTGGTGGCCAATGCTGGGTGGCCCTTCCTTCCCACCTTGGCCTAGTGCCCCGAAGGGGAGCTCACCTGGGGGTGGGCTCACCTGTTCAGGAAGATGCTGCTGACGTCATCGTGTGTGATGGGCGGCTTCTTGGAGCTGGCGGCCATGCGCAGTGGGCGCAGGAAGTTGTTGACCAGGATGTGCAGCTGCTGCACGTACTCGGCCTCGGCCTCCAGCATGCTGAACACCACCTGGTTTCTCTTGCGCATGCTGTCGGCGTGCGGCGACCGGATGTAGTCCTGGATGATGGTCTTCCACTTGCGTCGGCACAGCCAGCCCCGCAGGAAGCTCTGCACCTGGGGCCCCGACCAGCAGAGAGAACCACCCGTTACTCCGCTGGGAGCCCCAGGCAGGGGTGCAATATTGGGGCTACACAGGAGCCCTGAGGCATCATGATTATGCGCTCTGTGGCTCTGGGGGTCCGCCGCCAAGGGGCGTCGTGGTGGGGTGCCCTTGAGTGGCATTCCACTCACAGCAAACCTTACGGGGCAGGCGGAGCACCCAATCGTTTCCTTCCTTTCTTTTGCAAACAGCTTTATTGGTGCATAATCCACACAGCACACCATTCCATAGTTCCAACACAGGTGGGGGGGGGGGAGTGGTATAATCATTACCACATCCATTTCAGACCATTTTCTTCTTCCTGTATGCATTGTTACTAGCTCCCTATCCCTTGGCCATGCCCCCAAGAAACCATTCATCCAAGCTCTATAGATTTACCTATCCTGATTTCATATACAGAAAAAACACCCAAACAACCCAATAAAAGGCTGAGAACAATAACCCTCTGGGGTCTCTAAGCTGTCATCCTCAGGGGAGCAGGCTGCCAGATGCGTTCGAAGTGCCAACCTCTCTGTAGTGGAGCGCTTAACAGCTGCGCCACCAGGGACCCTTCCTGTAAAGACAACAGCCTGGCAAACCCTGTGGAGCGGCACTACCCTGTTACATGGGGCCCCATGAGTCGGGATCGACTGGAGGGCACCCAATACAACGGGGTAAAGTCCTGGCCACCTGCTTCTGAAAGGACAACCATGGAAGCCTGATGGGCCAGCTCCCTGCTGGAACTCGTTGGGGGGGCGGCAGGGGGGTGATGAGTCCACACTGGCTGAGTGCATCGGGCTTGTGTACACGTGTGTGTGCTTCCACAGCGGGGCGTGCCAGGGAAAGAGCTCAGACCCGGACCAGGCCCTGCGCTGCTGCTCGCGTGACACCGGGGAGGTGGTTTGGACCCTCTGACCCAACTGTCCCACCTGTAAAGGGGAGCGGATGTGATGGGGCAGCTTCGACATCTCCTATGAGAAGCTGCAAGCGCTCAGACCTGGATCAGACCCTGCATTTTAACCAGAGCCCTCAGGCTGCATGAGAAGCACTTGCTGAAGCGGGGGCAGGGTGGCCCTCGCCTCCAGGAGAGGGGGCTTTGCCCACGGATGGAGGGTTGCCAGGCTGTGCTGGGCATGGCTCACACCTTCTCTGTCTAATGCTCCCAGAGCCCACGAGTCTCCATGAAAGCTCGTCTGGAGAGAGGGTGATTATCAAATTGAACACAACATGGCAAATTAATTAATCTCATGCTTGGGCCTGCTCAGCGGCTCTGAGTGCTGGCGCGGCTGGAGCCTCTCCCCCTGCCTCGGTGGAGGAAATGATGGGGCACTTTGCTCCTTGTCAAGTGGCCTCATTTTGGCAAGAACTTGGGAAAGGGCCCCGAGTTCCAGTCACAGAGTCATTTAAGGTGCGCCTGGCTTCCAGCCACCCCATCCCTGAGCTGTGTGCAAGCTTGGGGTCCACACAGGGAGGGTCCTGGACAGGGCTGAGGTGGGGGGTTGGGGAGAGGCCAGAACAAGGGCAGCAGATGGAGCTTGGGTGGGGGGACTGGAGTCCCGCTCCTCTGGGGATCACCCACTGGGGGGACCAGGCAGAGTAATCATCCAAGGGGTGCCGGCCACAAGCAGCAGAGACCCAGCTTGCCAGGGGTATTGGCCATGGGGAGGGGAGGCCTGATGGGAGCCCCAACAGCCTCCTCCCAAGGCAGGAGGGGCTTTCTCAGAGAGGGCGGGGCTTGCCCAGAGGCTCCCCAAACCAGCTGCGGTTCAGTCGCCCTGACTCATGGCAATCCCCCGTGGGGCAGAGTAGGACTTTGCTCCACACGGTCTTCAATGGCTGGACTTTCAGAAGCTGAGAGCCAGGCCTTTCTTCCAAGTGTTTCTAGATTGGCTCCCCCCTCCAACCTTGCAGTCACTGCTGGGCGTGTGAGCCATTTGTAGCACCCCGGGGTTCTCAGAGGTGAGCTCGGTGCGATGGGAGCTGGACTGTGGCTGATCTTAAAAAAAAAAAAGTGCCCCAAGCAGAATGGTTGCTGAAAGAGACCGGTAAGCCCAACGATGCCCGAGCAAACGGGGACCAGCCCCTTGGATGGGCTAGGCTTGGTCAGGGTGGCACATTCACATGCTTGTATGAAGGTGGCAAGGTAAAGGTCATCTCGGAGGCAGTGTCTTCTCGACTGTGGTTGTCTGGGGTGGCGGGGCGGCGGCCTGGGGCTTCTCCAAGAGGCTGTGTCCCCTAGCGATTGAACGCATCAGTTCTAGAGCTGGGTGGCCAAGCTGGGAACGTGACTGTGCAAACATTTCAGCTGTGTGACCTTGGGCAAGTCCTTGCCGCTCTACCTCTCGGCTTCCCCATGTGGGAGGTGGAGCCAAGCATAAGCCCCCAAAAGGTCGACTTCATCTCCACAAACACCTAGCAGAGTGCCTGGCATGTGTTCGCTCTTTCTGTTCTCGAGGAATCAGAAATCCAGATTTTTACATGAGATGTTTAGCTTTTAAAACACTGCCAACAAGTCAGGGTGCAGTGTAGCAACGATGAAACATACAACTTTCCTCGAGTTCCTAAATGCTCCCTCCCCACCACCCAGCTCCATCATGATCTCAATTCTACCTTACAAGTCTGGCTAGACCAGAGGATGTACTCTGGTACAGATAGGAACTGCAAACAGGGAATCCAGGGCGGATGATCCCTTTAGGAGCAGTGGTGAGAGTAGTGATACTGGGAGGGTGGAGGGAGGGTGGGCTAGAGAGGGGGAACCAATTACAAGGATCTATATATAACCTCTTCCCTGGGGGACGGACAACAGAAAAGTGGGCGAAGAGAGACGTCGGACAGGGTAAGATATGACAAAATAATAATTTATAAATTATCA